AGTTAACTCTAGTTTCAGGGATTTTCCATATTTTGATCTTTTGAAACCTACTTACCAGGATTCCTCTGGCAAATATGGCAAATATTACAAAGAACGAGGAGGAAAGAGTAGGTTTATGGAGCTTATTAAACTGGTGCAGTGATGTCACGTTGGCTTTACGTGGACGCCCTAATTCGGTTTGAATAAACAAGCTTGTTTTTCCAGTTGAATGCCAGAGTCTGACCCCAGACAGGAACCAAAAGAGGACATTCTTCTGCTCGAACACCATCACAGACAAAACATCACACACCGCCAAAAGCTCTTTTCTTTCTTTTTTTTTAAAGAGCACATAAATCGTACTTTGGACGTCAGCTGTCGCTGTTGAAACAGTCTGCGGAGATAAAAGTGTGTCAACAGCTTAATTCTTTATTCATTCTCTCCCAGGAACCCAAGTAAGCTATCATTACCTCCAGCCAGTCTCAAAGGGCTGTGGGTAAAGTCACTCATTATCCTTCTGGGAAAAGGAGTGATTTGACAAAGTGAGGTCACTTTGATCCATACGACCAGACTGCTGCTCCTAAAGACAGACCTGTGAGCTCAGCACATTCTCACTCTTTGGGTGTAGCTTAGGTTCTTTGTGTATTGATGTGAAGTCTTTGGATCAATTGTCATTATCCACGCATGAGAAACATGAAAAACTTACTAAAAAAAAGATAAGAACGGCAAATAAAGCGATGCCCCTTTATGATTTGTAACCCACCTCCTCCTTACTCCAAACACATTACTGTTCGCTTATAAAATCTATGACGGGTTCTTGAATAATAAGTCAGGCAAATGGTCTATTTGGATTTGTGGGCCTCCATGAACCCGAAAGCAGCAGCCTTTAATTCTGTGACACGTCTGTGAAGTTCCATTCAGACACCAGCGTGCTGCCGAGCTGAAGTGGAGGGTGAAACCAAAGTTGCCCGTCGGGCGGTGCTCTTAAAGTCGACGGGATGGAGGATGAATTAGGTGATGTCTAAACACCGGGTCCTCGGCTCGGGAAAGGAATGCGGTATAAATCAGGCCCCTAAATATCAAGCCTTCACAGCCATGTGTGTCCATGCCTATACAGTTACACTGGTGGATCTGGAAAAGATTAGAGCTCTCGCACTACCGAGGCCGCAGGGTGGTTTATGATGCGCTGGGCTTTATCAGGCATGTGGTGGTGGGTGAGGGGAGGGAACATCACGACCCCTTCTTCATTCCACATGCAACGCTTGTGCTCATAGATGCCCACCTCCGTCTGTGAGAACCATTGTTTTTGCTTTACCAAAGTCGGGGTTTCATCTTTCATAAGCTTTCTTTGAAGCTGCAATCAATATGCAATATCCATGGAAATAAATTACTGTTTTGTTCGCAAGTGATTTACTGACGGTAAATAATTGTACAAGTCGGCCACCCCGTGACTTCAGAGAAACAGCTTCCCTCTTTTTATCTCAGTGCTATTATAAAGCTGTTGGGAGGAGAAGAAAAAGGCAAATGTAAATAAATATGTTCTCTAAAATCCTACTGTACACTTCCTGTTCAGAACCAAACAGTCAAAGTAAGCAGGTGAACTTAGCAGCCAGAGAGGCAGACGTTTCCTTCTGGAGTGGGTGCAAAGCAAAAGCAGAGCATGAATGTTTAACCAATTCTTCAAATGAATGCTGATGTTCCTCATGTTCACCTCGTAAAGTGCTACTACATCAGTGTTTGTTTACATCTTTAAAAAATGAAAATGAATGACTGCATGTTTAAGAAAATTGTGATTATCTGTGCTACATAATGAACTCTTCTAGATGATTCTCATCGTAAATTTATCCGGAAATAAAATGTCAAAATCTTAATCTAATATTTTCTCATTTCCTTTTATTGTGTTTTTTAATTTTTGAGTTTCTTTGCCCTTAATGAGATCCTCTTCTTTTTCCGCCACACCAGAACAAACAAATGGGAATTTTCCGTTTGGTGTAAGCAGCAACCCATGCCACATATCTCAAAACCTGTATTAATAATACTTTGCACAATGCAATTTACCAATAAAAGATCATTTAAAATCTCCCTCTTAGTCTTTCGGCTGTAGCTTTGCTCTCTTTGTCCAAGTCTTAAACAGAGAACCCAGTGTGCATGGTTCATTTGCACCCTCAAAGTATCATTAGTCCTGAATACAGCAACATCTGGGATTCTCTTGAGGAAATCCAGCGCACACAGAAGTTCTGCCATCAATTTAATGCCATCAGGCTCAGCTTTGAATGTTAAATAAGCAGTGCTTTGTAAATGGACTCGTGCTATCGGTGGTTGTTTGATCAGGATGGTCTTTAGGAAACTCATATGTATTCCTTTCCCTATTTCAATGAACATCTGTCCGACATCTGGCCATCGCACTTGTAGTCATCTTCTGACAGAAGTGGATTCATGGAGTGCTAAACAAACCCTATCTGCTGATTCTTTTTTATATTCACACCGAAAACTCCCTGTGAGCTCAAGCAGCTGCTGCCTTCCACTTCTTACTTCCATTATAATTCAAGACCCTTTATGCACCGCGCAGGAGTCCTTGATTGGAAATATAACTTATTCTAAATGCTTGGAAATGGGCCAGAAAAAACGTGCATTACTTTTACAGCGACACACGCACGCAGAGTACGTGTAAATATGACCTGCATTGTCAGTGCGCTTGGCACATTTTTGAAGCGTGCTCCTCAAGTAGATAAAACAAGTTCCTCTAAATGAGTCTTCACCTACCCCTCCCTGTTTCATCATTAATGAGTATTATCTCTACTCAGCACAAGTTAGATACTATCGTGCTGTGAAAACAACCCTCCCTGTCATCAAACTAAAACAAATGTATATTTCTGGATGCCTTCATAGGTAGTGATAACAGAAAACTGCAAAAAAACAGTGAGACTGGGAACCGTTCAGAGTTCACACCCGTGTAGCTAGTTTCCGATCATACATGGATTGTTTGGAGAATCATAAGTGGCAAACTGTATAAGGAAGTGAGGCTCTTTACAGCGTATGTGGCTGCCAGATGAAACACAGGCGTTCAATAGCGGAGCGGCAGGAGTGTGTGTTACACAGTTTAGTCGGACATGACTGCAGAACCTGAGCATCTGCTGTGTAGGTGGAATAGTGTGAAATAATGGTCTGATATCTGATACGTTTGAATTAAAAGTGCTATTGGCTTCCTTCTTAACCTTCATCTTCCGTGTGTGGGAGTTGGATGAGGCTGGATTACCAATTCCAGGGACGCTCTCAAGGGCCCCAGAAGCCTCAGGTTAGCAATTATTTAGTGGCACCTTGATCTATTGATTGATACCAACTGGAATGTGGTGGGTTTTAAAGGGGGAACTCTATTGATTTTACAAGTCTGTCGAAACATCCTAGAAGAGCTCCTGCTCATTTGTGAACATTTGAACAAAGCATTTTGTGGCCTGAAGGTGCTGCTCTAAAATGACTGGTGGCTGTGAGCTGAGGAGGGAGTTTTCCAGACCTCTGAATCTCTGACATTAACGTCGGCAGTTGTTCAGATCTGTTTTTTCGTAGAGTAGGCAACAGGTTTTGACGAAGGAAGAGTTGAATGTTAAGGCGATTCCTGCTGTTGTCTTATAAAGGGGTTGTCACGTCAGACTGTTTAATGAATTAGTTGTTGGAAGTTCACCGGCCTGGAGCGAGCCGTCAACAGGCTCCAACATCAGGAAGACATTCAGGTCAGACGAGTAGGTCCTGTGAGGGGACAATCATTCAAATGAGAAGGGAGAGGAAGCGACCGGTTGTGAAGGAGATGACCACCTCACACAAGGAGTGCTGAGAGATCAAGGCCTTCTCACAGGGGAGAAGGGAAGTATCGTCAGCAGATCAATCACTTGGTTTGACCCTTTGTGAACTTGGTTTGACCAGAGTACCCCGGAACACCCCTGGCCAGGCCGCACCAGCGGTTCAGCAGAGCTGCCCTGTCTCAACAATGCTAACCTTCAACACATCCTATTAGCAAGACTTCCTCAACAGCACCACAGATGGTGACGTGCGCAGATACCGAAATAGGAGGCGAAAGGGCAGGAAATATGTAGGTAAGAGGTTAAAGACCAAGAAGTTTGTGTGATGAGGCAAATAAACAAGGAAACATGGATAAATGTCACAACCTGTGTAATTGTTGACATTTTCATTAGGAGGAGGACACACACAGTTGTTCTTCAGTGGGAAAGGGTTACATCTATTTCCTCAGGATAGGGAGGAACGCTGGAATGAGCCGCATCTGCACTTCTCAGGCGGAAATGATAATGACAGTATCAGGGAGATCTCCTAGGGAGATATGGTGGTGTGGTCCTTGAGCACCATAGAAGGAAGGGGAAGACGCTGAAGGACTAACCAATTGAAGATGGCTGCAGAGATGGATGTGGAGCGCCGTCACTTGTCCTGAGGATGACAGTGGTGCGGATCAGACGGGATATCGGGTCAAGAGCTGGCGTTCGAGGGAAAACACTGATGAGTTGATGTATTGCACCCGTATCCCTCTGCATGGGGGCATATTGGCACCTTGGCATTTATTTTCTCACAAAATATACTAAATTATGGTCAAAATGAAAGATGCCAAACTCAATTAAGTTGGTAAAAAGAAAGGCCCATACTGTGGCTTTAAGTTGGTCGGCGTAACAATCTGCTTTTGCAGTGTGAAAGTTGGTAAGACGATAACTGAAAAACATAAAACATTCTGTCAAACTGAACTGAACCTTAACTTAAATGGAGTACAGATGATACATCACACGGCAGCTGGAATAAATCACACACAGTGGTGCAGGTTTCAGCCGGATGAGGTTGTTTGTTTGATTTGTATAATTTTAGTGCCATGTATGGTAGATGTAATGAAAACCAGTCAGTTAAGTTTTCACAACCAATGTCAATGGAGCGTTTCAGTTAAAACACGTTGTTTTGGGGAATATCAAGGCACGGTCATTAAGTAAGCTTAATTATACAAGAGCCAAAGAAACTGAGACACGGAGGCAAAACATTTTCTGAATATTTAATATTTAACAAAACACATGTTACACATTACAATACCAAAGGAATGCCTCCGTTCTTGTCGACACATGTTTGTGTCCCCACTCTTTTCTTACTGCAACATGAAATCAAAGCAAACATGTGCAACCATTAACGTGACACAATGAGCTCTATGTCAGCGCATCAAAAGGATGTGTTGCTTCCTACAACAGACAGTGAGCCAGCTGTACAACTCAATATTTATGACACATAAATAGTTATTCTGGGAGTCAAGCGGAGGCACGCCAACACACATATACAAACTCTAAAATAAAAATATATTTTTTTGGTTGTTTGGTCCCTAATAAACACTTGGTTGTTATACATCACAGCTGCTGCTTGTAAAAAAAAAAGTAGTTTGGATTTTCTTTAATGTTGTTTGGTCATAAATATTTTAGCCATCGGCAGCCTGCGCGCTGACACGGCGGGATTAATCCCACGAGGGCACATGAACATCCTTTAGACCATTAGCACTGAAATAAAATATAGCTCCCATAAAATACTTATATCTAATACTGACACAGGACCTACATCTATCTGATCTTTGAGCTCAGCAGTCCGGTTGAAGCATCCAGACTGTGTAAATACTAAGAACCAAAAGAAGATCATTTGCCGTGCGCGTCACATGCAAGCGCAACACCTCAGCTTTGCACCTTCGCAAAATAGGAAAATCTAGATTCTTGCAGAGAGATTAACGATGAGAGGGTTGATGCATTGCCACTCTGATGAAAAATGAAACAAAAGAATATGTCGACTAGGCGAGATGATTCCACATTTTTTAATTCTTAATACTGAGCAGCGAGCTGTAGCTTCATATTTAGTGAACAGACACCTAAATGTCCTACAAGTCAAACTGATCCTCAACTAGTCAATGGGACTAGTTGAAGTGAAATTGATTTATTCTTTTTGTGTTTGAAGAATTGAACTGATCTGACACGAGGTCAATAACAGAGACAGCAGGACTCGAACACTGAGCCAGTCAGTTTCTTGGATTAAATGGTGAAGCAGCATTGTAGGAAGTTGAGAACTGCTCAGTGTGTGATGTCTATGATTTACATAAGGAAGGAAAATACATGTAAAATGTACAGTATATAAATACAAAATGATGTAAAAAAGAAAAGATTAACAATATTACAATATTGTTGATACTATCGATATTCAATGCCAGTCACATTATACACACCGCAGACACACACACACACACACACACACAAACAGTACAATCCTACATCAACAGTACAAGCAATGATTTTACATATATATATATACAGCCACTGCATCGGCTTTACAAATGAGTGACGATGAGTGAAATATATGGAATCAGCTGTTATAATAAAACTGCTTTGTAAGTGCTTTTTAAATCGATCAATCCAATTGACATCAGCCTTCACGCCCTTCCTGCGAGATGCACATTTCTCTACAAAGGGAGCCGTCTTTGGACAGATTCTGATTGGAACAAATCATTTCGTAACAGCAACTATATTACACATGTTTTAGGTTCCACAACCGCCTCAGACCTGTGGAGGGTTCTCTACAGCTACCGCGGAAGTACTCGGGCCTCAGACATGTTGGAAGTGTCGATGAGGCGAGCCAAACCCGTCCGCGTGGAGTATTTAAAAGATGAAGGCCTTCATGAGGTCATAGCGGTAGTTTCGGTTGATGAAGTTGTAGAGGATGGGGTTGAAGCAGCAGTGGAGCAAGGACAAGCACTGGGTGAGGTGCAAGGCCACGTAGATCACGTTCTCCAGCCCACAGGTCAGAGGCACCAGGCCTAACTGAGACAGGGAGTCAACCAGGAGGATGCCATGGTAGGGCCCCCAGCAGCCCAGGAACACCACGATGTAGGCCAGGATCACCCTGCGGCTCACGCCACGCTCTTGGTCCACGGGGGAGGACGCCGACGAAGAAGAGGAGCGAGTGAAAGCTCTGGCCAGCATGGCGTAGAAGACCGCGATGACCGGGAAGGGGAGAACAAAGCCCAGCAGGATGAAGCTCAGCTGCACGCCCACCATCCACTCCCTGGGGTTCCCCTCCGGGTACACGGGCCGGCACAGCATGGCCTCCCCGTGTGTTGACTTCACAGTGCGCAGGAAGTAGGTGTCCGGCAGGGAGGCGATCAGAGCCAGCAGCCACACGCCTACGCACACGGCGCCGCGGATCAGCTTCCTGCGCGGGCCTCTCTCGTGGTCGCCGTGCTTGGTCACGCTCACGTAGCGGTCCACGCTCATGCAGGCCAGGAAGAAGATGCTGCCGAAGAGGTTGACGGAGAACAGCAGGTGGGTGAGTTTACACGCCACCTCGCCGAAGGGCCAGTGGCCGTGCTGGGCCAGCGAGCTCACCCACACGGGCAGGGTGGCGCACACGCAGAGGTCCGCGACGGCGAGGTGGGAAATGTACACGTGCGTCTCGTGGCGAGGGGCGGAGTCCCTTTGGGCGCGAACGTTTACCCAGAGGACCAGAGCGTTGGCGGCGAGGCCGATGATGAAGATGAAGCTGTAGAGGACACACATGGAGTAGAGCAGGGCGTTGCGGTTGAAGGCCGTGGCACACACCGTCGTATCCACGCTCGATATGTTGCTAAAGGCTTCGGAGAGGTTGAGGTCATCAAGCGACGCCCACAGGTCCTCCAGCTCACTGGTGCTCAGACTCATTTTTCAGCAGTAGGAGAGGACCGACGGCCGCAGGGAGGTAGTTCACACCACTTCCTACCGGGATGGAAGCTGAAAAAACAGAGACACCACCAAAGTCATTATTTCTGGCAGCATTCTGTATTTATTTACCTGAATATCAAGTAAATGCAACCTTCTGTTTTCATATTTAAGAAGCAATTTTCAGTTCATAAAGTAGGGCTTGTTTTACGGCGTGGACTCAGAGAGCACGAGCTAATAAAACAGAGGACGTTTGCGGTGTGCCACCGGATCCTGAACAATCTTAATGCGGTTAACTTGTTAAAACACGGCGTTCATCAGTTAATGCTCTCTTTCTGCAGCCGTGTCAAAAACATATTACTTGTCCGTGATTGATGCGCTGTCAGGGGGGTAGTACAATAAATGTTTGCCTTAGCTCCACTAGATTAGACATGAGGAAGTGGGTTCGAGAAATCCAAACAGGGTTTATTTCCGGAGCGTTCCGGGCATTCCGAGATAAAGCCGCCGGTCGGGGTGAGAAACCCGATGCCATGTTTTCCTTTAACATGCTTGTTATAGTAAGAAAAAAAAAATCAGATATTTCTCTTTCTGCTCTAGAAGGAGACGGCGAGAGAGGACCTGTCACCACCCAGATGATCAAAGAGAAGGCTGCATATGACCTGGAATACGTCACTTTACAACACCTGAGTCTTTTAACCTAAAAGGCCGAGCACGCGATTTAAAACACAGGACACGTTAAATCTATGTGTAAAGCGACTGAAGCGATGTGCGAGTTCCCAGAGGAGGTGGTCGCGAACAGATTGGTCGGGTAATAACCTGGTGTGATTAGGCTGAGCCCAAAGGACCCGCTGAAACCCAATCTTCTTCTTTTCCTGTGATGTCTTTCTTAGCTCCCCTAACTGGCAGCTTGCCACAGTGTGAAAGATCAGAGGTGAAAGGTAATAGATTAAAACCAGAACACGAGGGGCTTAACCCCGCTGTTGCCCCCGTACGGCTTGTACGCCCACGCAGTGAAATGTGTGCAGAAATCAGCGTGAGTCTTGACGCCTGCAAAACGGTCCGTCCGAGGTTAAAAGGAGGGTCACCGACCACTGGGCCACGCAGCATGCCGGAAAACTGTGAAATGTGACCGCTTCACACATCTGTCTTTTGCTGTACAGACTATAATTGACACAAAGGCGCAGAGGATGATGACAGAGAAAGGCAATGAAAACGCATACTAGCACACATGGAACTTATTATGACGTGCAGCTGTCAAGTGTGTGTTATGTCTGCTTTTGTTGTCTGTTATCGATTAACTTTTTCATCTTAAGCTGCTTTATGCCTCTACTCTGTTCCCTTTCAGGGGAAATAAGGTTTTTCAACCACAACGTGTTATTTGACAAGTACATTTACCTGCTGTTTTGCAGGTTAACCATGTTACAAAAATCCAATTATGTTGTCAAATATGCTGAAAGGCCATATTGAAGTATTGTACATGCAAAGTGGTTCAAATTAGCTCCACGTGCTGCAACATCAACATTATAAATTGAGTTGGACCGCTTTCAGGAAATCATCGTCATCGTCACAATTTGTGATTTTTGCTTCATAGTGTTGCTGTAGATATTTAATTCATTGGGTCAACCCCAAAAAGACTTACCCATCAGTTTTTGTATCTATTCAAATCAAGCTGGAATCTAAATCTATGTGATGGAAAATGTCGTACTTACCCACTGTTTCATTGGCAAATTAATCCAATACCTAAATAAGTATATTCCTCGGCGCGGATTAGTAACCGATCCCTCTTTTGATAGAGCAGTTTCAAGGATTGTCCCACTCTTGGTTCTATTTCCAATGAGTTTGAGACCCCTTGCAAGTGGCTTTCGTTCTAATAGAAGGATTCTCTATCCCGAGATAATCCCTCACAATGGCCTCTGTCTAATTCCGTTATATTATATGGAAAATACCTGGAGGTGCCAGGTAGCCCCACAGGCTTCAACCTAATTAACCCCTTAACACCCACAACCGTCAGATAACGGCACATGTAGCCCCCCCCCCCCCCCCCCTCTCGTCTCTCCCCTGCTCTTCTCTTTTCAGCTCGCGCGCCTCCAGTTACAAATGAGCCGAAAACGTCTTTTGTTACCCAATACACATGTTATAAAAGCCATCCAAGGCGATGTTCATGTGCTAATGCTGCGGACATGAATGGCGCAGGTGCAGCGTGTTTGTCAGAAGTTTCTCCGCGCTTTTAGTTGCACAGGATCAAAATCGTAAAGCCTTTTAACGACGACGGCACTTTTCTCGTAGATTGCCAGTGAAAAGAGTGAGTGTCCCCGCGCGTCGCCGTGCACAGCCGGTTCATCCAGCCAGAGATCCCAGACGGCCGCAGCGTGGCTCAACACACAATCATACGTCATTGTTGCCATTGTTGATTTGTATCAGGCTGGAAACAAACATGTCTTATCGGATGTCCGCTCAGTATACAGTAGCCTCGCTGCGCGGATGCACGCTGGGAAGATGTGGAGAACCATAAAGATAAGTCACTTAAACGGGATAAATGATGGTGTGTTACCATAGTAGTTGCCTGCTTTGAATTCAATAATAAAAAATAGAGCATGCGCTAAATCCCAGTTGTAGTTGTAGTTGTAGTTGAATTATATGAACGCAGGTATCGAGCATCTCGCGTTTTGCTTTTAAGTCCTACAAACCAGCACCAATGAGCTCATATAGGCAGCTTACCTGTTTTTATTCCCGATCCCTCGCTGAGATCTTCTCTTCAGAAGAACAGATGTTGTTGTTTTTTTATGTTTGTGCGCGTGCAGCTGTGGCGCTCAGGGGGAAACTTCACGTCCACTGCGGGTGTCTCGCGTGCGATACGCTCCGCGTCCTTAAGCGGTTCTGAGTCTGTTCCTTGTTCTGCACTTGCTGAAACTCCGATGAGAAACGCCTCCCAGCTGCTCCCAACGCCGCGCGCATTGACGCGGCATCACCCGAGGCGGCCTGCAGGCAGCCAGCAGTGCGGGTAGTTTCGGCCGAAGAAGGAAATAAAAACGTGGAATTTCCTGTTTACAACTCTGCATGAATGAAAAGTAATACTTTTTTTTTTTTGCATTGCTGAACATTATGTGTGCTTTTCTTTTATTCATGTCTATAATGTGGCATGCAGTAGGACAACAGCAACAGTGGTCTATTAGTATGACGTTTATCATGACAAGTATACCAACACATATACATTCACAATAAAATATATATGTGAATATATATTTTTTGCCACAATATTTAATCTGGCATTCAGAGGTCTAAAAATATTATTATTTGTTTACTTTTTGAAAATTAGAATAATTTACTGCAATGCAATAATGTGATATGGCAGGTGCAAACCACCTGTTTGGATGTTACTTTGTGACGGTGATTATTTTTGTCGAGATGAAGTGATTGATCTGTACGGGCTAATAATACATAATAAATGATGATACATCAAAATTGTTTTATTCATTCATGAAACACCTAACTGCATATTTCCTTATTCCAATTTTTATATTACATGCAGAACTATATGTCATATCATTTATATAAACCTTTGAACAACAATATATGGGGTTAAATAATACATACAATGTACAGTACACATTAATCACATCAAACCACATTACAACGGCACCTCCTTGTGCTCTGCCCCAGTTAAATATGAAACCAGAGTCAGTAAACCACATCTGATATCTGCTTCCACCCAAAACCACCAAACAGGTTAAACCCAACACCAAGCCCTACCGACCTAACTGAAAATAACGAGCTGCACCAACAACTATACTCATGATTGAGGCTATATGTTAATCTAATAAAATGCTCTAGTATTTAGAATAACTTTGACTAAATTAAGGATACAGTTTTTCACTTCTTTTCATGATGCCTGTTTTGAAACTTCAACAACTGCATCATCTGCTGGAGCCTTTTTGTTTCTTTGTCGTTGGGGCCATATTCAGTCTGGATTCAGGCACATCTTCTGGAAGCAGCACAAAGCCTTGTGGGAGGAGGCTCCTGTGTTTACTGAGAACCGCTGAAAGCTCACCTGCAACTCTGGTGGCCTCACAGCTGCTGCGGGGCAATTAACCCCAAGTTCAATACAAAGACAGAATCACAAAAGGAGGCACTGTGGAATTTGTGAAAACACACACATTTGTTATGTTGGATTTGTGGTGCAACATTCTTTGATGGAGCTCATGAGTGAAAGTAATTGTTTTTTTAATATCAACGCCCATTGATCGAGGAACAGACTTAACCAGGTACAATACGCCTCGCATGTTTTCTCAGGAAAAAGATATTGTTGACTCGCACAGATCGGCCCACGGAAGTTTATTATGACTGCGTGTCCTGTATTCAGGGATGAAATGTAGCCAGCAGGTTATACTGTGACCTCATTAAAGACCAGAGTTTAAAGTCAGTTTCAATGAGGCTTTAAAGAGAGCTCCCACTACGCACGCAGACCCATTGTCCTCCATATCAGGAGCATCGGGGGGGATTTGTAAGCCTCTCTGATAAGCATCCGTAACTCTGCAGACCGCTGCCAACCTCTGTTCTGCAGACCTCATTCACAGGGAAGCCGGACTGGGAACAGCAGGGGTGTGTGTGTGTGTGTGTGTGTGTGTGTGTTTTGTTGTAGAAAAGGTCATCCAGCCACCAAATAATCATTGCTAGCATTAGAAGCGTTTTGATCATGGTTGCACATAAAAAGCTAACATTTAACAATGGAAACATCAAACATTGTTTGAACTCTAAACCTCTTCACCCTTTGAATGTGTTTGAATTCATTATTAAATGGCATGCTACATAATTCATTTTGTTTATCGTTCTTATTGGTTAGATGCTTTGGTGTTACAGCTGGTTCGTTTATCATCACTCTGGTTTCCAAAAGCAACAGTCAGATCCAAGCAGCAGACAAAGTTAAAGTGTAAGATAGATTTTTTCCTCAGATGCTAGAAAATAAAAGGGCTAAAATGCAAAAAGGCTTGCTGTCAACTTGAAAAGTCAAGGGTCAATATACATTTGACAGCGTGTTTCCCAGAAAAAAACTATGAATGTAGGTTCAATCATATATTCATTTCTGTATTTCTACTACTTGTACCCAAGCTATACATGGGAATCCCACAGCGTTGCTCCACATGTGTTCCTGCTCTAAACAACAACCAGTTTTATTTGTCCGCTATTCAAACAAGGGTGGGTCCTTCATTTTTCTGGAAAGTGCATTCAAACCCTATGGCCCCTCTCAAACCATTCCCGAGGGATTTTAGACACAGCCAAGTTTGTAGTGTAGATTTCCACACTCAGGACGAACACACGATCTAGAGATAAAGAGATGGAAAAAGGGAGGCGATCGCGTAAACTAAGAGAGGGTGTTGGGGCTCTAAAAGCAAAGTTGAGGAAAAGAAAGTTTGAGGGTTATTCCTAATGACTGCCGTTTCCATTGTAGTCTAGTCCTGTGTCACAGTGGGGGGTCTGATAGACACAATCTATTTTGGTGCAAATCTCCATTCAGAGGGTCCTTCGCAAACCACATCTTTACCATCTTTATTGTTGCCCTCCCTCCCACTCTGAGGCTCCCTCTTGCATTTCTCTACTCCTGCACATTCCTCCTCATCCTCTGCTTCCAACCTCGCTCGTCTTGATCGGTTATTCATTTACGAAGATCTTTCAGGCGGATGAGGGCTTGTGTAAGTGAAGCTGAAAGCAGGGATCACAAGAAGAGGAATGAGCTTGCGATGGAGTGTGTGAACACCAGGAAGTAAAATCAATTCAAAAGGACAAAAGATTGGCTGCTATTTCTTCCGTCGGGCTTTGTCTTGGGAGTTTTGAGTCAGTGTTTTGTCACTGGGGATTTTCTGCGGGTTTTTGATGAGGTGATGTTTTGTTTCTCTCAGGGAAATGTTCGTGCAGGTGCACGTTTGACAGAAAGAGCAAGTCCCTGTCGGGGGAAATGCAGAAACCCGGGCATTCCTCACTTTGAAAGAGCATCCCTCACACTGCCCCCCCAATCTCAGGGAAACCTGAGAGCTCCCCAAATATCAAACATGGAAAAAAGTCAGGGTGTACCAATGATCGTTGTGTCAAACGGGAATGTTAAATATACAATGTGTTAAAGCAGCTATTTTAAGCCACTTGGGGACAGCAGGAAGAAAGTGTATTGACCGCCAGCTTTTAAAATGATATGGTGAAATATAATGAAGAAAATGTAAGCTCAATGTGAGAGTAAAAGGAAAAAAAGTATAAAAAATATAGGGGTTTTTGAAATGTGGTAAATGTCCATCCACTGGCTGCATTGTGTGAACTCATCTGCAGCGTTTGAGCAGAAGTTGCCAGTATGGTAATACGCATGTTAACAGAGCAGAAGCAAAGGTTGGAATCGGCAATAAAACAAGACACATTGGCTGTCCAACCCATCTGTAGGAAAAGGTGGAAGGATTCACCTGTTGGTGATCTTGAATATTTTGTGGCAATATTTCCATCGGGCCTAAGGAATGGGACTAACCGACAGGTCCCCCAAAAAGACTGAAAAGAATCTTGCTTTTTATATTTTTCCCTCCCTTTCTTTGCATTTTTCTTTTCTCGTTGTCTTCACTGAATCTGTGCATAAATGTACGTTTAGCTGTTGACCGCGGCCGTCTGTGACTCACACAGCCCATTAACCTTGTCTACCATCTCTGCACGCAGCAGCAGATCACACATGCGGGTTTCGCTTCCCCCGCGCCTCACGGGTTTCTGCTCGGCCCCACCCATTGTGCACCGCGGCACACAAACACACGCCCTGCGCATTGACACGAGCCAGCCGACGGGTCATTGGGATCATGTAAAATGGCCAAAAGATAAAGTCTTTTCGAAGAAAACGTCTTGCTCCCGGCGACAGTGAGGGTCCGCTATGGATTACTGACAGGATCTGTCCACAGGTTGCGCAGGGAGGTGTCCGTCTCACCGTGCCCACCCTGGGGGCTCCCGTCCCGTAATCCTATCCTGACAATGCTGACGTATGCTTCATAACACGCGCCTTTCCATGCTACTGAGCTCACAGATAAGCTGGCTAACTTTCACCCCTATTGTCCTGTCACGCTGAATAAAAAATGGACCATCAGCACATATGGAATGTGTTTGGAGAAGCCTACAGCGACCGGCTTCATTACCTCCAGGCGTCGCCTTGCTGGCCCATTGCACGGCCCCCGGAAAGGAGTTCATGGTTTGACTTGAGTTTGAAACTTTGCGTTGATGGTAAACAAGCCGGTTGAACGTAGACAAAGTGACGTTCCATTTGCAAACAAGAAATGTCAAGTTTTAAGAGAAACTAAACACCGCAAGCTTTATTGGATATAAACACGACTCCACAGCACTCAACGAGGATGGTGGAATAAATATTGTCGATAAAAGGCAGAATGAAGCCCGTCTCGCCTTAACGGAAAAAGATAACGGCGATATTCTTTTAGAAATGACCCTATGGCATAAAAGTATCAAAAGCATCATGGCAACATGTGATGGAAAACTACCTCAGGCCATTTTTCTAACCCTCTGTCCCGGGTGGCCCCCCATCCACGCTCTCCCCATTGCATACACAAACACGAATGTGGCAATTGAGGGATATTACGGCCGGGATGTGGCAACCCAGGCAGCATCTGGACTTCAGCCATGTGTGCCTAGAGCTCCTAGTCAGCGGCAATCGCATTCCCATTCATCTATTCTCTCCTCAGAGTCTCATCCGTAGGCCTGAGCTTCAGCTTCGTCTATTTCTCAGAGACAAAAACACAAGAGGCCATTTGTAGTCTTACATTGTTCATACCGATGCGCGACACTGGGTGAAATATCCATGGGGGACAGACGCATGAAACAAAAGCCCAAAAGAAGATTGGATCATGAGATAGAAGCAGGAGAGGAGTCGACATGGGAGCAGGGGGATCAAACAGGAATGAGGGCACAGGATGTGCTGTGATCCCTACGTGTCTGTTTCTCCCACCTCTCACCGGGCTGTGGAGATAGCAGAGATCTGCTTCTCATTAAAATATAGAGAAAAAAAGAGGCATTTAGAGAGGAGGATAATGGCTGACTTCGGGCTTAACCCTGTCTCTCCCCAAACCACCAGGAGACTTCCCCGAAGCTCCCAGCCGCGTTGAAGCCTCGTAAATACAAAACAGCTTTGCTCGCTCACGTCATTTTGCCGGCACCAGGCACTCCATACATCAGAGGCTGAACGGAGGCCAGAGGCCTGATGTCCGTTCAT